GGGGTTGGGAGCAAAAGTGGTCCGACTCACTGACCCCATTGTGTTTACCCAAATGGATGGCTCGTCTATGAAGCACCCTTGTAAGTACGAGACTGTGCCTTTAAGGATGGGAACGGGGACACATTGGGAGCATAGACCATTTGTAATAATCTCTGCCGCCCATTTCCCTATGGTGTTGGGCAGTCCGTGGCTTCACAATCATGAACCGTACATTCTGTGGGAAGAGGGAGTGATTAAATTCATTTCCCCTAAATGCCAGATGCATGTATAGGCGGAACAGTGGTGCCCCCCCCCGATGAACCAGTGAGGGCTTACCTGGCCGAGAAAGAACTGAACTCCATTCCTCCCGAGTACTGGGATCTGACACGGGTGTTTGAAGAGGAGGCGGCGGATTAATTATCCCCTCATTGACACTCAGATTGTGCTATCAAACTGATTCCAGGCAAGAAATTGCTGAAAGGGAAACTGTACGCGATGAGTCCATGGGAAAAGGAGGAACTGCTCAAGTTTATCGACAAAAACTTGGCGCGAGGGTTCATTCGCCCTGCATCCTCCCCTTTTGCAGCTCCTGTATTGTTCTGGAAGAAAAAGAAAGGGGGGTTGAGGTTATGCATGGACTACAGGGGTTTAAACGTTGTGTCCACCACCAATGCCTACCCCCTACCCCTCATGAAGGATCTCTTGGCCAAGGTGGCTAAAGGGAAAATCTTCTCAAAGCGCGACCTCCGGGATGCTTCTTTCCGGGTCCGCATAAAGGAAGGGGATGAATATAAAATGGTGTTTAACACTCCACTGGGGCAGTTTGAGTATTGCGTAATGCCGTTCAGACTCCAAGGGGCCCCTGGGGTCTTCATGAATCTTATCAATGATGTGTTACACAAGCACTCGTTTAAAGGGTTAGTTTACCTTGATGACAGTACTCCCCCGATAAACCCTCTCACATCAAGTTGGTGACAGAGGTCCTACACACGTTGCACAAGCACAAACTGTTTGCCAAGTTGTAAAAATGTGACTTTCACTGTACTGAAATAGACTTCCTTGGATACCATATTTCATCCAAAGGTCTGGAGATGGATCCAGCCAAGGTCTGGGATGTGGTGGGGTGGGAAGCTCCTTGAACCCATAGGCAACTCCAAGCATTCCTCAGGTTTGCCAATTTCTACAGGTCTTTTTTTACCGAACGCATAGGTGAGCTTACCGCTCACAGATTTATTGAGAACTAAGGGGAAGGGTTTGCAGTCCAATGAGGTACTTGTTTCCAGGTGGCAGATGTAGCCATCTCATGTATCCCAGTGGAGTCCAGGCATTCCAATAGGGTTGCTGTTTTGGTGTTGTGTTATAGCGCTTTAGCGCCATAGCACTCTAAAATAAACGTTCAAAAAAAAAGGACGGACATCGTCCGCATGGGTGAAAAAGGGCGGGAAAACAAAGTAGCGCAGGAGGAAGCGCTACGGGGCATTTTACACAGCACCCTATAGCGCTTCAGAAACGGTATAGAAAAGTAGATACTGCTTGGAAGCAGTTTGCAGGTAAAACTGTTCAGCCACGTTGAAGCGTTTCTGTCTGAAAGTGAAAATATATTTAGGTAGGGAACTGTTACTAAAATGGTTCTGTCTGAAATGTCAGACCAGAAACTGTTAGGAAACATTTCCTTAACTGGAATCTATCAGCTGTCTGAAAATCCCCAAAGTTCTCTTTGTCAACTCTCTCCACTCTGTGCATAATTTTAATAAACTTCTATCATGTCCCCCCTTAGTTGTCTCTTTCCTAAACTAAAACATATCAGATTCTTCAGCCTTTGCTCATAGGGAAGATGCTCCAACCGCTAATCATCTTGGTTGCCCTCCTTTGTACTTTTTTGAGCTTTGTGATGTCCTTTTTGAGACATAGTGACCAGAACTGCACACAGTATTCCAAATGAAGCTGCACTGTAGAGCTATACGGGAGCATTATAGTATTGGCCATTTTATTTTCAATCCCTTTCTTAATAATCCCTAACATAGAGTTTTCCTTTTTCACTGCTGCAACACTGGGTTGACATTTTCTTTTTTACTATTTTTGTGAGTATTTTGTGTGTGTGTGCGCTTGCGAGCCTAGAAGTCATGGTGACTTCTGGTGACCCCTAGTGTGGTTAGGATGTTTCAGAGAGGTGGCTTGATAACCTGCCTCTGCATCCCATCTCTGGTATTCCTTGGAGGTCACCCTTCCAAGTACTTGCCAGGGTCGATGCTGCTCAACTTCCAAGATCTGATGAGACTGGGCCTTCCTGGGCTATCCAGGTCAGGGCTGGGTTGACACTTTCATTGAGCTGTCCACTACAGCTCCAAGGTCTTTTTCACTTCCAGTCTCAGCAAGTTCAGAAGTAATTACATATATTACATATATTACATATTGATCTTACATTGGCCCTGGTAAGGCAATTTTACTTGTACTTTTAGGACTTAAACTGGAAGGTACATATTGGCAATATTACTGTCTCATTCTCATATAAATATAATTGCTTCATTTTTGTTTGTCATTAAGTTCCAGATTGGAACATTCCATTTTGGTCCTATATCAATTGTTTACTGCCTTACAAGTGTAACAGGGGCTTTGTTGCATGTTGTATTCTGTACTATTTGACCTTTGAAGAAGGCTCTTGTGGGCTGAAATGCATCAAGTCATATATGGTTCTTTTTGTGCATTTGTCACTTTGATTATTTTATGAGGCTTTATTTGGGCCCCTACAAGGTTTTTATATGTTTTTGAAATAAATGTGTACTTTTGTCTATACCTATTGATGTTTTTAACTTTTGGCTCTTTACTAGTCTTCTTAAGTGCATGCCTGGTATCCAGTGCCTCCCTCTAAGCTGTGAAGTCTTGTGAGCTACTGGCATTAAAGTTGTGAGCGAGCAATTTGGCTACTGCATAAATTAGTTTGCTCTGGAGCCATCCTTCCTGAGCTAAGACAAAAATGTGTGAGCTGGAGGCTAAAAAATTGTAAGCTAGTTCACACTAACTCAGGTTACAGGGATCACTGCTGGTATCTGAATCCGGCCTAACTAGAGAAATCCAGAACAGGGTGTTACGCTGTGTATTCATTTATTTAAGAGAGTTTTATTCCATTCTTTTAACCATAGGTTTCTGAGATGGCTTACAAAGGGGCAACACTCCTGTCCAATCCAATAAAAATATATTAAAATATTTGAATAATTGAAAGCGAGCAGTATAGTAAAATTTCAGATACATGCATACTAGACTGCAGTAGGCTTTGCCCTCCTGTTTGAATGGAGGAACATGTATAATTGACATATTTGAGAGAATGTGGATTGAGTTCTATGTATTAAACTCATATTTGTGAAGCTTTTTTGCAGCTTACTGTTCAGCTAAGCATAAATAATATGCAATAATATTCTTTACTATAATGCCCATCACTTTTATGTAAGAGGCAACTGAACATATATCTGAATATGTTCTCCTCCTCGTAGGGAAATGAGGCAAAACTTGAGAGTACTTTTGAGGAGTTGGGAATCTTGGACTCTTTCTATTTTCAGGTTTTAACGAGCTACTTGTAGGCTTATACTTTGGAAATAGTGTATTTCCGTCTTGTTCATAATTGTTTATCACTTGAATTTTATGTCTGTGAACTGTGGGTTGTTTCGTATCTACAAAATCCATAACAAATCTTTCCCTTCAGTCTTCTGTCAAGTTGGGAAGATGAACGATGATCCACACTGATTTAAAAAAAAAAAGTACAGAACTCAGTATTCCATATAAGCTAGTAGCCTTTCTTGATTGCTAAGCCTGAGATACTATCCACAGTTATAGAAAAGGTAGGTATCTGAAGAAGTGAGCTGTGACTCATGAAAGTTCATAAAGGTTTCCCTTGTGCAAAAGCCAGTTGAATCCAACTCTAGGGGGCGGTGCTCATCTCCATTTCCAAGCTAAAGAGCCAGCACGGTCTGAAGACATTTCCATGGTCATGTGGCTGGCATGACTAAACGCTGAAGCGCATGGAATGTTGTTTCCTTCCCACCAAAGCGGTACATATTTATCTACTCGCAATTTTTTGCTTTCGAACTGCTAGGTTGGCAGGAGCTGGGGCCAGAGATGGGAGCTCGCTCCATCATGTGGCACTAGGGTCTCAAACTGTCGAACTACAGACCTTCCGGTCTGCAGCTCAGCATCTTAACCTCTGAGCCACTGCTGAAAGTTCATACCGCTATTGTTACTTTTTAAGGTGATACTGGACTCTTACTCTTTTCTACTGCTATAGACAGACTAACATGGCTACCCATTTTGATCTATCCACAGTTCTGCACATTTTTGTCTAGTGTGGACAGGCTTTACATTGTTTTTATGGTCTGCTCTAGCCTGATGTCTATTTTATGTGTATCCTTTTTAGGCTCTTTTATACTACTTTATATCTTTTATGGTTGTTCATTACTGATAGTTTTATGTTGTTTTTATACTTGTATTTTATTGTACTCTTTGAGCCACCATGAGCAGATCTCTGGAGAGGCAGCATATACATTTTCTTAAATATATTTTGAGTATATGTGGTTTCTCTATCCACTTGTCTCTATCCAGTTATTATGAGGGAGTCCTTGCTTATTTTGTGGCACAGTCATTTGCTGATGTGTTTGATGATTCCTATCCATTCTATATCACAACACAGAAAAATGTCAAAAAAAAATTAAAATCCATCTGGATTATTTGCTTTTTCTCTGAGGGGAGTTTGCCTCCAACTAACTGTCTGCTCTGGACTGAGTGTCAGTTACTAGTGGGATGCTTGCCCATTTTTTGGAAGGCATATACTCAGCATTATTTAATGCTATGCTTTAGTGTGACTTGAGCATCTGTAAATGTAGCACACAAAATGTGGTCAGATTATCTATCTTGCATGTAATCAGTGCAGTGATTTTTATTGAGGAAGAGGAAATAAGAAATAGGAGCCTCTTGTAAAGAAGTAATGGATTTATATGACAAGGGGAAAATGAACTTGTACTCTTGTGTTACAGATTCAGTGGTTCTTTCCTCTGACTCCGTTGGACATTCAATAGGCTCAGGTACAAAATCCCCCTTCTCCCTCTTAGTGAAAGTCTGCCATTTAATTATGTGACAGCCATGTTGGGAGGCAGATAAGAGGCAGTTGAGGATAGTTCAGGATTACTCTGTAAGATGGCCATTAACTCAAATTCAGGAAATAAACAAAGGAAGTATTAAAAATCACTGAATATCTAATGGCAACTCAGCCGATTAAAGTGGAACGACATATTACTTTATGATGTATTTTAGGGCTGCAAATGCGTGTTTGACTGAACATGTGGCATAATTGTTAGATACGCTAGAAATATGGGGTTGTAAACCATTCTGTCATGCAATCCTGAACAGTGTGACTCTAGTTAAAACCCACTGAAATTGAAGAGTTGAGACTGGTGTAACTCTGTATTAACTGCTCCTTTCTTTCAAACAATTGCCTGGATGGTATTTCTTTAGGTCTCATATATTATCCCATGGTTACTAGCTTCATTCTTGGAAGAGGTGAACATGTAGCACAAGTAACATATTCGTATTTGTCAGGGTGGGGACCACAGGAATGGGCAGAGGAGCCCCAGGGGTGGCCCGACAGCCAGCAGGTAATCCTCTCTGAGGCTTCAGGGAGGGTCCAGGCATCTTGCCCCATCGGCCATGGAGGGGATGGTCCGTCGCGGAAAGGAGGGAACCGGGGTCACCCAGGAAGTTGGGCTCACCAGCAGGGAAGTGACAGAGAGCAAGAGGGATGGTCTTGGTTCACAGTCGGGCCAAACCATTCCTCTTTCCCCCCTTTTTTGGGAGGTTGTTAAGATCGGGTGGGAGCACTTGGTCGGAGGAGTGGGATGAATAAAAGGCGGAGCGTTGGGAAACCAAGGAGAATTGCGGACACCTGGGCACGAAGCACTGTGGGGGAGACGCGGGCAGCTGCCCAATCCACCCAAGACGCTGACCAGGGAACGCTGTCATGGAAAAGAGAAATGAATATCTCACTCGACAACAGCTGAGGTGACCACGCTGGCGGCAACGTATTCACCCTACAAAGCCTGACAATATTTGAGCACCACCACCACCATCATCCTCACTAACCATGGAGTGTGCTACTTGCTACTTGAGAAAAAGTCCCTTCTGACATACAGTGTTTGGCTAACAAACAGTCTAATCAAGGGGAAATGTGGGTAGAAAATATGTTGAACAGGGAAGGTAGAGAATACAGTTTCACAATCAAAGCTTATAATGGTTTTTGTGCAATACATGGAGTCCAAGAGGCTAGTGAGAAACTTCCTTTAGTTTTCAGATTATAACTGACTTGCATAGTTTTACTAATTTGAAACCAAAAACAAAATTGGTCTTTGGGGCCACGTCAGGACATGTATTCATCAGCAGAGCATGGCCTATTGCTGGAGTGTGCTATTGGAGTTCTGGAAGAGAATGGTGGGAGATTTCTCTGTGATCAGATTCTGCTACAATGGTAGGTGTGATTTCCCTTTCAAGGGACGCTTTTTGATGTCTGCTTTCAACCAAATCCAGCTCTTCCCAATCACATACATTTCTTTCAGGATCTCTGATTTTACTCAGATTGGTGAGAACATTTGCTGCCTTCCAACATGGCCCCAGGCTTCTTCCTGCTTAGTAATAAGGCACAATTGCTGCATACTAACAGCATAGTTTTTTACAGAGGGCACTGAGTTAATAACCCCAAACTTTGGTCCTTCAAAAGCACCAAATCTTTCCTGCTCTTGCTTCATTCTTAAGAATGTGTTTGTGGAGGCTGAGTGGATGAGGGTGCACGATCTTGGTCACAGATTGCCCAGCTTTGCTTGGTAAAAGTAAATATTCTGAGGTTTTGATGGCAAAGTGTATATGTGAGGATATATTTCCTTTTTTGCAAAACATTTCTGACTAAATATTGTGCAGATACCCTAATGATATTTAGTTAGTCTCTCTCTCTCTCCCCCCCCCCTCCCTCTCCCTCTCTCTCTCTGTGTGTAAATAGCATGCGGTGATAGAGATGAAACTTTTCAAAATCTTTTGTTCCTCTGTCTGGTCCAAGAAACTTTAGTTATTCTGCATCTTCATAAATTAGCCAGCTGCACGAGAGAAGCTTGGAAATGGCCACAGTTCATTAAAATGCTGCATGTTAAATTGCTTTAATATTAAGAGCCTTGGCTTCATTGTGCTGCAAATTCCAGCCCCTAGTGAAAAATGAGCTGCATAGTAAGGCTGAGTTGTATCATCTGTTGCTCCACTGAGGGATAGTTTTCCTTGTTAAAACAGGAAGGAGAGAGGGAAAATCCACATCTCTTGTGCCTCTGTCATCTCTCCCATCACACCTTGCTGCCGAGTTGGGAACAGGCAAAGCTCAGAAAGAACCTGTGGCTGTTCCACACCCAGTCACTCCTAGTAGGTACCAATTCAGGTTGGGAGAAAAAAAGAGATAAAAATCATAATGACAGTAAAAATAAAGAGAGGATGGTAATTAAACATTTTGTAATTTTTGTAATATATTAAACAATTTTTAATGGGTGGTTTGAAGCAGGAAGCTGGTGTCTCTTCAGCAGGGCCAGAATTGGATGATTTTTAAGTTAACTTCCACCTCTGCAGTTTCACAAGTAATATGAATATATCTTACATGTGAATGTGCTCATATTTAATGGTTACATCTAGCTTTTTTCTTTCACTTATTTGTTCTTGTGTTTTGCTTGATTCTGACTGCAGAAATAGGAATCAGTCTTAATTTTATAGAACATTTTATGCATCAATGATGTTATTTTAGATGGAAATAATAGATTATTTTGATTATATACATTCATCCTGAAAGAAGAAAGTGATTCTACAAACTACATGCTTGTCTTGGTCTTTAAAACAGCTCATCTAATACTAGGACCCTGATGGGGATTGTGTATTCTTGATAGGCTATTTACAGCTTGCTTATTATCTTTGGATTATCTTGTCTGCAAGAAAGGCTTTGTGGGTTTATATAATTAAATATACCACCCTTGTAAAGGTTTTGTTATTTATGGCCTTAATGAACCAACTTCCTAGTGCGTAGCAGAAGCAAACTCACTGATTCTCCAGAAGCCTCAATTGTAATGGTGTGGAGTTTGGAATTTTTCTGTTCTTCCATCCATTTTGCTCCCCATTGTGACGTTCTGAACTGCGGTTTTCACTGCTCTTTCTCCCCTATGCTCCATATCACTTCTCCTTCACTTTAATACAAGCCAGGTGTGCCTGGAGGTGCTAAGCTATTTCCCAGTAAGAAGCTGTTCTACAGCTGTTCCTTCTATAGCCAGAACAGCTCCTCTGAGCAGCAGCTGACCCTTTTTATTTCCTCCAAGTGGTTTTCTGCCGATATTACAATATTGGTCTGGTCTGACTTCTGGGGTATGTGTTCACAGCCTCTGGGGATGAGGAAGTCTTATCTTCACTATTTATAACTATCAGTGCAAAACACTATGCAGAATTTCTCCAGTCAGAGCCCACTGGTTTTAATGGGCTTACTGGTGTAACTCTGCATAGGGCTGTAAAGGGAAAACACTAAATAAACACCAAAGAACAATAGCTATGTTGGTCTGCAGCAGAGGAGCAAGATTTGAGTCAAATAGCACTTCAAGACCAACAAGCTTGGTATGAGTTTTCAAGAGTCAAAGCTCCCTTTGTCACTATTTGGACTTGAATCTTGCTCTGCCAAAGAAAGAATAATCTGTGATTTTCTTTTAGAAAAAAAAAGTCTCGAGGTAAAGACAAGCAATTTCAGAACTTTCTTTTAAATGAAAACCCATGAATATAATTAGGGGTATAAACTCGATTTTTCAAGTGTCTAGCAGATCGGCCCACAATGGATAATAGAGTAAAGTGGCTATAAAAGGAGCACTTGGGTATCCATTCAGAATGAATGAGAAGCATGTTCACCAATTTCCTCATTGTCTTGATGCAAAACACCATGCATCAGCTCCATATACTGACCCCTTTCATCAACCATATTGAGAATTTGACAATTAGCTGGTTTTAATGTTCTGTACCCACATCATTAAATTTTCCATGTTTTCATGGAACTGAATGTGTCATGGCCACTCAGCTGGTTACTAGCCTTTTGGTTTTGAATTGTGTAATATAATTTAGCAAAAGAAATCATTCTGGAATGCAAGGAATGGATTACTAATAAAACTGGACTTGCTGATATTAATGTTTCTTGCTTTGGAAGTGATTTATTTCTTGGAGAGAAGCTGCTATAGGGCTTTGAATAATTTGCCTAATGTATAGGGAAGAGACTGTATGAGTAAACTGATCACTTGTTAACCTGTTTTATAAGATCAGAGGGACTGATTTCCTTGATTAGAGGTTTTCTGGTGTTCTTGAAATTTCTTGTTCTCTTAGATCCATCCCCAGTGCTGCCTCTATCTTTCTTATATATTGATTGCTTCTGGCACTGCTTCTGGATAAGCCTGAATAACATCAGCATCTCCCAGGAAAAAGGCTTAAGAAAACTAAAATGCCATGTCGTTTTACCCCCTTGGAACACTTCCTGCTCCATTTCTGCAACTCTGATGAGAGGTTTCTTTGGATGAGGCTGACACTTGGTGGTTGTTGCTGTCAGGGATACAGACTTTTCAGCTTCACAGAATGGGCTGGGCCAAATCTGGGAAAACCCTCATAGCCCAGTACCTTGCGTCTCAAATTTACAAAACAGAGGACCAAAAGCTCAGATACACAATACAGCCCCAAAATAATAAATAAACCTGATGTTTATTATATAAATTAAAAACAAATCATAAGAAATTCTGCCAGTTAGACTAAGTACATTCAGTGGACACGTTGCTAGAATTCTTCCATGCTGACCCGGGCTCTAAGTAAAGTTACACCCTTTTAAGCCCATTTACTTCAATGTACTTAGATGTGTGTAACTCTTAGGATTGTGGTGCAAATGTTTTTCTTTTCATTGGTGCTGTCTGGATGAATTCATTAGTTATAATACTAAGTTCCATCTCTGGGGAGATCTGTAGGTCCACGTGACCTTTACGATATGCAAGATGAAATAAGTACAGTAGGGACCATTTTAATCAGCTCTATTACACTTGAAGAACTGGAAGTTTAACTTTCCATTTTCATGTATTTTCATAGGTGCAGATGATAGCACATATGTTGGAGGATTATACACAACTCACTTGGATGGTTCTCAAGAACAGGAGCAACAACATTGTGCTTTGCTGTTGCATCAGCATCTCTTAGTACAGGTAGAGTTGAGAAAAGGTACTATAGGTGAGTGACAGGTGTGGTAGAATGAAGGAAAAGATGGATGAGATAACCCATTTAGAGTTGCATTACCAAGTAAATTCCTACTGTTGTCCCATAGGAGAAACTTATTGAATTAATTAAATTTTGGACTGTTTTGTCTACATGGAATAGAGTCACCCTCTCCACTCACACACTGTTTCTTTCTCTCTCAAACCTACATCCTTCTTACTCCTCTACCCAGCATACCCTGTTCATACTGCTCATAGATAGCTCCAGGAGTCTTTTGGGGCAGGAGCACGCCGGAGTGCTGCTCCGGCAGCACAGGAGCCGGCGCAAATGGTGGTGTGGCAAGCCCCGCCCCCAGCTCCCCGCGCTGAAGCGCTGGGGCCAGGGGGAGGCCTGAAGAGCCCCACCACAGGGTTACCCAGGCCCGCACAGGAGTGCTGGGGCCGGGGGCAGGGGAAGCCCGGAGAGCCCCGCAGCCGGGTCCCCCAAGCCCACACAGGAGCGCTGGGGCCAGGGGAAGCCCAGAGAGCCCTGCAGCCAGGTTTCCCGGGCATGCGCCAGAGCGCTGGGGCCAGGGGAAGCCCAGAGAGCCCTGCAGCCGGGTCCCCTGCGCCTGCGCCGAAGCGGTAAGTAAGGGATCGGGGGTGAGTGGGGGTGGCGGGGGCTTGATGGG